TAAAGACAAGAGGAACATACAAAAACCTTTCATGTTAAAAGTACAACTCTCACTTATAGCTTTCCTAATATTTTTCTATAACAAACTACTATTTTGTTCTTTATTTTGGTCTATAGTAAGTTTAGAACATACCCTCGCTTGGAGTGTGTATGGGGAGGGACAGACTGGTCAACAGATACAAAGTCAAAGCCACAGCCAGATGGGAAGAATAAGTTCTGACATTCTATCACACTGATTATTATAGTCAACAATACTGAAGAGTACTTCAACATGGCTACAAGACAGGATTCTGAATGCTCTCATCACTAAGAAATGATAAATGTTTGAAATGATAGGTAACCTAAGCATCCTGAGTCGATCATTTCACAATATGTAAATGTAATAAAATACTACACTGTATCACATAATGATATACAAGATTATCTCAATAAAATAATTTAAAAGAAATCCTACAAATCCACACAATTTGTGTGTCAAAAGCTATTATACCATACATAAGAAGTTACACTAGTATACACATACTAAGTCTAGCAGGCTTATACAAAATAATCTTAGAAACAATTAAAATAGTTAAGAGTAGCTGTAGTAGCTAAACAGATATAAGTAATGACCTTACCTTATCTTCTAAAACAATTAGGTTTCTATCTTCAACACTGAACGTCCTTGCATATTACCTCAAAATGTTAATTCCTTGTCTAACCCTTAAACACAAGCAGAATTCTGTGCTTGTCTTGCAGCAATAATAGCTATCACAACATCTTAACCTCATCAAGAAGTTCAAACACAAAAAGAAGACATGTCTGAGCTTACAAATCATGCTAAATATTTCACCTTCACAATTAAAAGTGAAAACTTTTCAAAGAAAAGGACTAAACCAAATTATAACCCCATGACATATATTTTTCTGTAGCCCCAAGATCTGGCCCATTAACCTAAAAGAGCAAGTTAACCCTATAATCGCATCTTGGACAGGCCAATTCTTGGGCCAATGTTGTTGAGCTATCACAGTCACATCAGCTCCAGAATCTAAAATTCCCTTGAATTGTTTTTTATTAATCCAAATTGTTAATTCAGGTTTATCTTGTTGGATAGGCGTGACCCAAAATGCATCAGAAGACCCAAAGGCTCTATTTTGCCTATTTTGAGGAAATAAAAACCTTCCTTGTTCTATATAAGGACAAAGCAATATCTGTGCTATCCGCTCCTGAGCAGGGATAACAGTAATGCCATCAGGTGATGAAGCTAATATTTGTATTTCACCCGTATAATCTGCATCTATGAATCCTGGATGAATATGAAGCCCTTTTAAAATCCAACTACTCCTTCCTAGGATGATCCCAACACTGCCTTTCAGAAGGGGTCCAAATACTCCTGTGCGGAGAGCTTGTGTTGCCATCTGAGGGATTAACACTAGGTAAGCGGAGGTATTTATCTAAGCCTTGTACATCCCTTTTTTGTAAGCACTCATTTATTAAAGACCAGAAAGAAAATGTAATGGCTGGTACACTGTCAGAATTATGACTCCTTAATTTTTCATTTAATTTTCCTCCTACTCTATCCCAAACATCATCAGTTATTTCTTCTACATCACTGAACCAAGGACAAGTTTCATCCACACAATCAAGAAATTGAAACAATGACTTTTTCTTTGCCTTAATTCCTTTCTCCCTGAGTAAAGACTG